TGGTGCTCCGAGCCCAACCTGGCAGCACCCCAGTTGCTCTTGGGGACGCATGGGGCAGAGCAGCTGGGGTGGTGCAGGGTTGGTCCAGTAGCGCCAAGGAGCGACGCTACCGGACCAACCCAGCAGCACTCCAGCTGCTCTGCCCCAGGCATGTCCGATTCAGCCGCTGCTGGTCAGTTTCAACAGCGGCTGAATCTGGACGCCAGTTCCGACTTGCATACAAATTCAACTTAAAGAACAAACCTACAGTCCCTATCTTGTACGTAACCCGGGGACTGCCTGTACATGAAGCACCTCTCCTCCCCTTTGGCTTGCAGCTATTCACAGACCCACATGGCCCCTGAAGCTGGTGTGGAAGGCAGGGCAGGCTGCCCTAGAAACCTGCTGGGTTGCTGGTTAGGAGTCATCCATGTAAGGCTCCTGGCCAGAGCCTGCATTTGGCACCCCAGACCCTCCCCTTCCTCTGCCCCCCTCCCAGAACCTGCACCCCAATTCTCTGCCCTAGGTGACAGTCCCCTCCTGCCCATCCCATATAACCAAAACCCTCCACCCCCACTGCATCCATACCCCCTCCCACACCATGCACAAGGTCACAGACCAAACCCCTGCACCTTCTCTCAGAGCCTGTACCCCCAATTCCCTGCCTCAGGTCAGAACCCAAACCCTTGCACCTCCTCCTGCACCCAAGTCCCTTGTGCCAGGTCATAACAGCCTCCTTCACCCAAATTCTCTCCCAGACCCTGCACCTCCTCCTTAATTTCATGGAAGAGTGCAGTCTCTCCCCACCTTCTCCTATCAAAAATTATTGCCCACCCCTGCTCTAGTAACCTGCTTTTTGGCCTGTTATCTAAGAACCATTACACCACTTGACTCCCTAGCTTCAGACCCATCACCTGGAAGGCAGCTAATTAGTCACAGGTGGGTCTAAGACCTCTTCTAGTAAAGGGCAAGCCCTTCTTGTGACACACTGACTCAGGCATGCATAACATTGGCAGCAGTTGTGTGGATTCTGTGTTCTCTGCCATGGTTGTCTTCATATTTCAGAATCTTTTTAAGCTGAGGTTCACTTCTGCCTTCATGCTGTAATGGTTGTGTGACTACCAATAAAAGTAGTCAGGCTCATCACTTGGGAGGCAGACAATTAGTCACAGATGAAGGGACTAAGTTCACTTCTCTTAAAAGGCCACCCAACCCTGGAAAAAGTCTACACACACAGTTCTGATTACAGAACCATGGCTGTAGTCATCTTAAAAAAAGGAGCCCAATTTTTAAAATGCATGGAACACTTACGGTGCTGTGTAAACACACCCTAACTCAATAAGATATGCAAATTGCATATCTTATTTCACAGTGCCAAATTTAAAGTGCTTTTCCAAAACATCCCTTACTCCTCATAGAATGAGGGTCACAGGGATGTTGCTGTGAAGATGCAGGATAGCACTGTCGCGTAGACATAGCCTTAGCCCTTAGTGATAGCAATGAGAAATGTAGACACACAGCACTAAGGAAACTTGTCTGCTTTTGAGAGTTTATTTATGTATTGTGGCAGCCTGAGAGCAGGGAGCTACCAAAGCCTCATGGAAAGCAGATATGCGGGGAACTGGGTATGTGGCTTTCTGTTCCTTGAGTAGGCTGCTAAAGACTAGCCCAGCCAGCCACACCTGAAACCTATATGGCATCAGCCTGAAGAGAAGGCAAACTGGAACACCTGCAACCACTTAAGCCACTATAAAAACACTCCCCAGGAAAGGCTAAGGGGGAAAGAGAAAAGAGATGGATTAGAGGGCTACGTCTAGACTGGCATGATTTTCTGGAAATGCTTTTAGCGGAAAAGTTTTCCGTTAAAAGCATTTTCGGAACAGAGCGGCTAGATTGGCACGGAGGCTTTTCCGCAAAAGCACTTTTTGCGGAAAAGCGTCTGTGCCAATCTAGACACGTTTTTCTGCAAAAAAGCCCCGATCGCCATTTTCGCGATCGAGGCTTTTTTGCGGAAAACAAAGCTGAGCTGTCTACACTGGCCCTTTTGTGCAAAAGTTTTGCGCAAAAGGACTTTTACCTGAATGGGAGCAGCATAGTATTTCCGCAAGAAGCACTGATTTCTTACAGTAGGAAGTCAGTGCTTTTGCGGAAATTCAAGCGGCCAGTGTAGACAGCTGGCAAGTTTTTCCAGAAAAGCGTCTGATTTTCCGGAAAAACTGGCCAGTCTAGACATAGCCGAGAAGTAAAGGAGAAGAGAACAGCCTAGCCCAGCACAAGGGAATACACCGGAGACAGCTGACATCAAGGTTTGCTCTACAGCTGTGGTCACCAATGTGTCAATCGCGATCTACTGGTCAATCTTGGGGGCCTGACCAGTAGATCGCGAGGCTTTTGGAGGCCTCCCTCACTGCCCCCACTCCCCAAGATGAATGCCGTGCTGATGCTACTTCCAGGAACAACGGAGGTAGCACGGGCTTCCAGCAGGGTGGGGTGAGTTCTGCGCGCCTGGAACCGGAAGTGCACAGGCTGCTCTTCCTCCCCCCGAACAACCGACGTGGTACCTAAAATGCCGGTCCGTTGCGTGCTGGGGACTTTGTTCCCCTGCTGCCTTTCTGTGCACGGGGAAGGGGTTGGGTGTCCCGGACTGTGCCAGCTCCAGCTGCTCAGGCAGCGTGTGCTGCCAAAGCGGTTGGGGCTGGCGTGGTCTGGGACTCCCCATTCCCACTGCTGGAGCAGCTGGAGCCGGCCAACTGCTTGAGAAGCTTGCGCCTTACTCCTCCACTCACTTCTTGGGCCTTGGCCTGCAGCTGCAGGATCCCCAAGTACTGGTCCCTGTTCCCTCCCCCCTGCCCAACCCCCCGAAAATACCCTGCCCCACCATCCACTGGCACCCTGTCCTCTGCCCCTGTCCCTTGCCCCAGCACCCGTTGACACCCAGTCTCCTGCCCCGGCACCTACAAGCACCCTGTCCCCGAACCCATTGGCACCCTATGCAGCACCGTGTCCCGGCACCCTTCCCCAATACCATGGCCCCTGTTCCCACCAGCACAGTTGGGGCCACATTAGTGAGGCTTGTGGGGGTTCTGGAGGAGTTTTTATCTTGCATCTCACTTGTGTGGCCTCAACTGATTTTTTTCGTCCCTTGCCCCAGCACCCGTTGACACCCAGTCTCCTGCCCCGGCACCTACAAGCACCCTGTCCCCGAACCCATTGGCACCCTATGCAGCACCGTGTCCCGGCACCCTTCCCCAATACCATGGCCCCTGTTCCCACCAGCACAGTTGGGGCCACATTAGTGAGGCTTGTGGGGGTTCTGGAGGAGTTTTTATCTTGCATCTCACTTGTGTGGCCTCAACTGATTTTTTTCCTGTGGGTCAGTGACCCTTGACTCAAAACAAGTTCCCCGCCCTTCTCATAAATAAAGACAATGCAGAAACTTTTTGTGTTTAACACAGTATTTTATTTAAAAATGAAGCCTGGCCAATGAACCTCCAATTGGGGCCAAGCCCCCATCTGCCCACAGCATCGTAACATTCTTGCACTCCTCCTTCCCCCAGACCCTAGATCTGAACCTATCATATACTGAAACCCCCGGCCCTGAGCCCCTCACATACCTCAACCCAAATTCCTGCACCCTCACATCCACCTCCTCCTGCATCCAGATTTCCTCCCAGAGCTTGCACCTCTTACCCCTTCCCACACCCAAATCCCTCATTCCCACCCCAGAGCCTACACATCCTGCCTCAACCCAGCAAGGGTACGGCTAGACTGCAGGGCTATGTCTACACTCGCGGCTTTTTGTGCGAGTAATATGCAAATGCGGAATATGCAAGTGTGGAATATTGCCGAGCCTCATTTGCATACCTAATGAGCCACCATTTTTTTTCAGAAGAGGCTCTTGCGCAATGCCGTTACACCGATTACTTTTCAGGAAGAACGGCATTGTGCAAGAGGGTTTTTCTTGCACAAGAAGGGGCAGTGTAGACGCTCCTTCTTGCGCAAGAGCCTCTTCTGAAAAACATGGTGGCTCATTAGGTTTGCAAATGAGGCTCGGTGATATATCATGCTTAGACTCATTTGCATATTACTCGTGCAAGAAGTTGCGAGTGTAGACATAGCCCAGGAGTTTTTCAGGATTCTGGAGATATCCCAGAAAAACTCTTCTGCATCCAGGGATGCGTTTGTTCTTCCACTAAAAAAAGTGGAAGAGCAAACGTGCTCTTTCAGTCACCCTATATTCCTCTTTCCACGAGGAATAAGGAAACTTCTAACAGAAGGGGCTTTTTCTGACATTTGGTCCAGTCTAGACAGGGCAAATGTTGGGAAAACCTCTTCCTACAGAATAATTGGGGGGAAAAGCAGCAGTATAAGGGTTAGGGATAGCAAGTGATGGAGAGGAGGAGAATAGAGAGGAAGGGGCGGGGCAGTAGATCTTGGCTTTTTCTGTCATTTTAAAAAGTGAGTTTGTGTGTAAAAAGGTTGGAAACCACTGCTCTACAGCATCAGGGAGGAGGTAGCGTCGGAAGGGTTGGGGAAGTGGCCCAGGCCTACTGCTCAGGGGGGTAAGGGCAACGCTACATGGCCTGCTCGGGGCTGCCCCCACCCATAGGGCCCTGGGCTGGAACCCGGAGCAAGTGGGTGGAACCGGGTTCCCCGCAACCCTCCCCTCTGGCTGGAAGGGCCAGTAGGGTGGGGAAAAAGGACACTGGACTGGCCAATGATGGAGAAAAGGCTCTAGTAGTGGAGTACCCTAGCCATCATGGCAGTACTAGGGACACTGTGAGCCTCTGAGGCACACACATCCGCCAGGAAGCACAGGACCTACGGGGCTTAGCCCGGACTTCGCCACAGTATGTCTGACTTTAGGCACTCAAGTTTGAAAGGGTTGTCTGTAATCATCACCACAAAGCCTGCAAAAGGAAAAGTACAGCACTTAATCCCTCTTCTTTCAATCAGAGGTAATGTCTCCATTCCATTCACTTTCATGATATTGGAGTTAAAGGAGAGAGAGATGAGACTGAGGAAATGTATTTATTTTTGTCTATGAACAATATGACAATTATAGACTAGGTTTGATACACAGGAAAACCCTTTTGTCAATTTTTTTTGCTAAATGAAAGCACAATAATCTTTACACATTCATGTTGTTTTCTTTACAATACACAGCTTTCTCGGGTTGAAGCAAACTGCAAGGACATATCGGGTACTGGTATATTACAGCTACTTACATCATTTAAGAACAGCAAATGGAGAAAAATAAGTTATTTAAATACTGATTTCATATACAGAAAGTGCAACATTGTTAGTTGTTACAGTTTTGTTTCCATAGAGGGTATTAATTAAGGGTGACAGTATCTTGGACCAAATGTATTATTTATTCTAAAAATAATACAGCACAACTGTACAGCTGTGACTTGGTGAATCGACCTCTATTGCTTCTCTTAGGGAGAATGACCTGGCAGAATAATATAATACTTAATGCCCATGCTCCCAGTGTGCATCCAAAGCTAGACTCATATAAGAGCACAGGGTCTGGGACATGAAGTATAGCACAGTTACTCAGATGGCAATACGTGGGTATTAATAGGAGCTTATAATTGTAATGCTGATTGATAATAATTTTGGGCATGCTTCTTCCCTTATCAAATAGCTTTTCAAGTTAGAGTTGCACACAGTGGACACAGAGCAGTACTTGTCTGAGAAGAGAAGATCAGGATTTCATTAACAGTGTTCCCTTTGTGCTTAATCCCAGTAGCCAATGAGCTAACATTTGCTTAGAGTGTTGCACTTCAAAAGGAAATTTATTGTTGCAATCCCCCACCTGCCCTGTTCACTAAAACCAGCAGGAGAAGCTCACAAGCTGAGCAGTGTAAGGGCTTTTCTAAGAAGAAAATATATGCTAAAATATAACAAAAACCAAAAAGATTAAATGGCAGAATCTAAAAACCAGATCAAAGAGCAAAATGAACAACACAAATCACAAAGACTTTAATTCAGAATTCCCCCTCCCCCCCCGTAGCAAAGTATTGATAAGTGCGTTTTGATTTCTCCATGCTATTACTTCATCCAAAAGGCAGTTTGGAGCATGGAGAGCTTCAGAAATCCAGATTGTTTCTCTCACCTACGAGGCTCCTCTTATTAATCAGGTTTCAAAAAGAAATTAAGGTGAGGGATTTGCCCTTGATGAGCAGAAATTGTTTTCATTTTGTTTTAGATGATGTTTGAGACTCAAACTGTGCATAGTAAGCAGTCTCTTGCACACCCCCTCTCCCCCAAACTCCTAATGGGCATTCTCCTGCTTACTCTTAATCACTGGTGACCCCACCCCACCTATCAGTGGGTGTCTCAATGCTCCTTTAGCTATTGTTTTCTATAGGCTTCCCTTTAAGCTTTAGAGAAGGATGACAGACAAATCATTGTTATAACAGCCAAGGCCCATACAATAAGCACTTTGCTCTTTTGTAAGAGTTTAGCCATTTGTGCAAAAGCAGTTGGTTATAGCACACATTCTGTCACCAAATATTACTAGTATACCAGTTCCACAGAGAAATGCACTATTAGGTTTTAAGACAAGATCCAGAACGATTTCAGATGATACAAGGAATTAGTTATGCTGTGTTTAATTCTGATGGCAGAATTTAGGGCAGAAGAGATAACAACCGAAGCTGGTGGTAACTGAAATTAAGTAAATAAAATGGACACTAAGAGCCAGATTATCATTTTAGGTAAAATTTACAGCATACCTGATTTAAATAGAGTAGGCAATATTAACAGTGCCCTTTCAGCACTTCATCAATTTGAATGCACTTTATCAAGAAGAAGAATTATCATTATCCTTGTTTTATGAGTGGAAAAATTGAGTCACAGAGACGGAAGTGACTTGCCTGAATTAACATAGCAAGCTAGTGGTAGGGTTGGTAATAGAGAGTTCTAAGCCTGTGTTCAGTTCACTAGATTACATCTTCCCCTTCACCTGCCAAAGGAAAGCCTATTCTGTCTAAGTTTAAGAGTTTTCACTACTGTAAGTGAAAGAAAAGTACATAGGATATAGACACCAAAAAAATCTAGTTAATTACTATTCATTGTGATCTGTATTTGGTATATAAAATGAATGCCTATGTATAAAAATAAAATCTGTTAGTATCCACAGCTGTGAACGGGAGATTTTACATTGGTTTAGACAGAAAATAGGGTAACTATTTAATGGACATAAATGGTTTGTCCAGCATTACACAATGACACTTTCTTCCAAAGAGAAGAAATATGAAATACTCAATACTAGGCAGACATCAAGTTTTGTAAGACTACAGTATAATTCATAAGATTCTGAGGGTGGTGGGTTTTTTTTGTCCATGCAGTGAAATTACTGCTCTGATGCTTTCTATGGGACACAGTTTGCTTTTCTGATGCATGTTGTTTCCTTTGGGCAATCTTTCATTTGAAGAAACCAATGTTTTGAACTGATATGGTCAGAATACCAAGTCAAAGCTGCAGTACAATGATTGACGGTATAACACAGTACATAAAAATATGATTAAAATGAAAAGCAGTTACATATATACAAGCCATGATAACTTTGAACATTTTAGTAACAGCAGCAAACGCAGACCACTGTGAACAAATAGTTACCCTGACAATGAAAACTGCATTTGCAAAAGCACCTCTACAAATAGAAGAGGTTATAAGACAATTTACGAAATTACTTTAACTCAAAATCACCCTAAGTGCCATGGGACAACAACAGGATGAAGCAAGGCTGGATACAGATAAGTGAACACTAGATACTGCTTACAAGCTTATTTTAAGGCAAATAAAAAAGCTGGTTGCTAGAAAGCAGTTACAAAAATGACCGCAATTCTGTACACAAAAGGAGTTGGGGACTCTGTTAGATTAGCTGTATTGGAACAACAGAAATGGTCAATATTGTAAACTAATTCCAGTCCATTATTTTGGCCCAGCTAAAGGCTCTATGGTCTACAGGAACTATACAAGCAACAGAGATTATTTTTTTAAAGGGCATGTATTTACCATCTGATTGCTAAAACAAGCAAACAAAAACCCCAAGATTTGCAAAACAGCTTTTACCGGTGAGTGGCACCTTGGCTTGTATGTGGCTGTCAGCACTGATGCTAGGTAACAGGGACCCAACGTTACAGAGACCTTGCAACAGAAGGAGCGCTGACAGTGGGCTTATCTGTCACAATCTTGTGGAGAATGTCATACCTTTTTTAGCTTAATGTTCACATGGCCACATGGGGTGCTGTCTGATCACAGGCTAACCCTGTGCACTTTCAGAACTAAAATACTTTGCTGTTGAGGTGTAAGGAAGTACCACACCTCTGTTACCTGGCGGTTGCTTCTTTTCTCTCTTCGTTGCCAGATACAGAAAGAAAGGAAGATCCTCTGAGGAGTTTATTTGCCCATCCTTGGGGTCCGCCTGTTTGATCCCATTTGCTGTGTGGAGAAATTAGGGCAAAACTGGTGCAAGAAGCAGCTCAGTCAGGGAGTGCCACATTCCAGAGCATGTTAAATTACTTCTGGATCAATAGGTTTGAAGAGTCTTGCTGCTGCCAGGAGCTTACTTATGTGCCTCTCATCTGTGATGCCAGCTTCTTGAAGGCAAGTTTGTGACAGAGAAGGCACTTTGCTCAGAGTATTGAATCCTGCTTCTGTGAGGGAGTTAGAATACATAGGCAGGCCAATTGATACCAGCCAGTCACTTATAGATGTGATATGTCCAGGAGATACAGGTTTTCGGCAGATTTCAGTGAGCCCTCCACTTGGAATCTGGGTAGAGAAAGAGAAAACAAAATGTGATCTTTTGATTGCTTAGTTTACTCTGTCTTCCTCTGAATCCCTCTGAATAGAAAAAAAAACTATTTCAAGGTATTCTTCCTATATGTATTAGGCAAGGAGAAATGTAGGGCTGAAGAATGAAATCACCCCTTTAAGGAATTATGTCTATCAATGTGATGTTATGTAACCATGAATTGCAGCCCAATTTTTATGGATGGGATTTTATAAATGAAACAGTGTTAACTACTTTTGGATTAATTTGGTAGTAGCCTGTTAAGAATTGCCTTTGAAGAATCTGCTATTGTAATGACTTTTTAATATATTGTAACTGAAGTGACCCAAATTGTATCTGAAACCATGTTTTAAACATTATTCTGTCTTACCTCTGCTTTAAGTTAGGGGTGTGTGAATAGGTCATCTCATTTAAGTGTGAATTTGTGTGTGTGTGCGCGTGTGCGTGTGCATGTAGGTAAAGGGATCAGACCTCAAAGCCAGCCTCTTAGGGTGACCAGCTGCCAACACCAGCCTGATGGCTGAAGAACAATGTGAGCGAGCCTGTAAGCCCTGCAACAGAATCTACCCAAGAAACAGACAAAAGCCCCATCAAGAAAAAGATCCAAGTTACATCTGCCATGAACTGGTGACTCATGGTCATACAGTGCCCTGGAGCAGTGGGCTAGGACAGGATCTCTGGGCTAAAACATATAAAAAGATGGGTGCAAAATTATAGGATTGGATCTTTTGGTTCTAGGATCATTCTCCAGGAGCACAGGTGCACCCCGGCATGACCTGGCTCCCCTCTGTATGTCTAGACTGGCCAGGATATAAAATTAGGAGTTGGAAGAGACCTTGAAGTTATCTATTCTGTCCTGCAAGTCTAAGTCAGAATCAAGCATATCTAGACCATCTCCGACATGTTTATTTTATCTATTCTTCCAGCCAGTGGGATTCCACAAACTCCCTTGGAAACCTATTCCAGAGCTTAAGTAGCCCTATAGTTAAAAAGGTTCTCCTTTCTAAACTGAACATCCCTTGCTGCAAATTAAGCCCATTATTTCTTGTTCTATCTTTAGCAGGTATGGAGATCAATCGTCTTCCTTTCTATAACAGCCCTTCACATATTTGAAGACTTATCAGGTCCCTGCTCAGTCTTTTCTCAAGACTAAATGTGCCCAGTTTTCTTTGAACCTTTCCCCTCAGGTAATATTTTTCTAAACCTTTTGTTATATTTCTTGCTGTCATCTGGACTTCTTTCCTTTAGCCATATATATAAAATTTTTTTTTAAAGGAGTGGTGTCCCAAACTGGGTAAAATACTCCAGCTGAGGCTTCATTAGTGCTGAGCAGAATAAAACAATTACCTCCAGTTGCTTACATATGACACTGCTGTTAATGAATCCCGGAATATTAATTAATCTTAATGAGTAATATTAATTAATTCACTAACCTGCAGATCCTTGTTTGCAATACTACCACCTAGCCCAGGGTGGACAATAATTTCTGAACAAGGGCTACTTCAAACGTTTTTTGAAGTGGTTATAGGTCATCTCGGAAGGGTGGGGCCTCATGTGGCAGAGGTGGAGCCTTTAAATAGCAGGTATTGAAAGGGCTTCGCCTCCTCTGTGGCTCCCAAGGAACAAGTTAGCAGGGAATGGGAGCTGCGAGCCCTTTCAATTCCTGCTATTTAAAGGGCTTGCTGCTCCCGGCTTCGCTGCTAGTGCATAGCCTGGGAGCCCGAGACACTAGATCCCTTTCAACTGCTTCTATTTAAAGGGCTCACGCCTTCCCTGGGGCTGGGACAGCTATAGGGAAGGCACAAGTCCTTTAAACAGGAGCAGTTGAAAGGGGCTTGCACCTCCCTGGCTTCCAAGCAATGGGCTAGTATGGCGCTGGGAGCTGCTAGCCCTTTCAATTGCTTCTATTAAAAGGGCTTGCACCTTCTCTGTGCCCATTGGGCAACACGTTGCCTGGCAGCCGAGGGGAAGGCGCAAGCTCCTTAAATAGAAGCCGTTAAAGGGAGCTGCGAGCCCAGTCAACTGCTTGCATTTAAGCAGGTCCCAGTGCCATTCGTGTTTTGCCAGGGAACCAGGATACATAAGCCCTTTCAACTGCTTCTATTTGTGAAAGTAGAAAGAATTATATTGTAAGAGAAAGATGAATTATACTGTAATAATTGAATAAGTTGAAGGATCACTGTTTGTCTCTGAACAGGAAAGAAGAAATTATGTTAATGGTGTTAATGTTGTTTGTAGGTATGCAGATCAAAGTGCTAGCCAGGTATACCTGGGGTAACAGGAAAAGAAAACATTAGGGCTGTGTCTAGACTGGCAAGTTTTTCAGCAAATCATCTGATTTTGAGGAAAAACTTGCCAGCTGTCTACACTGGCCACTTGAATTTCCGGAAAAGCACTGATGATCTCATTTAAGATCGTCAGTGATTTTCCAGAAATACTATGCTGCTCCCGTTTGGGCAAAAGTCTTTTTCCGAAATACTTTTGCGCAAAAGGGCCAGTGTAAACAGCACAGTAGTGTTTTCCGCAAAAAAGCCCCGATCGCAAAAACGGCGATCGGGGCTTTTTTTGCGGAAAACACATCTAGATTGGCCACGGACACTTTTCCGCAAAAAGTGCTTTTGCGGAAAAGCATCCTGCCAATCCAGCCGCGTCTAGATTGGCCACGGACGCTTTTCCGCAAAAAGTGCTTTTGCGGAAAAGCATCCTGCCAATCTAGACATGCTTTTCCAAAAATGCTTTTAACGGAAAAGTTTTCTGTTAAAAGCATTTTCGGGAAATCATGCCAGTGTAGACGTAGCCTAGGTGTGAGGCAGAAAGCAATTGAGATAACCAGGGAGATATAGACAGGAGATTGCTGTGTACTTGATGTGCAAATGAAGATACTTGACTAGCCTCATACTAATCATGTGAAGTTTTGCCTCTCTTTTAATCTTGTTAACTTGGCTTTCTTTTGACTGTATAAATCAAGGCATTTGAATCTTGTATGGTACTCACATTTTCTGGGTGCATTTAGCAGAGCGGCTTTGCTAATAAACAGAGCAGTCTGACAAATCTCTGAGTCCTCTCTGACTCTGACAATTTGGAGGATCCACTGAGATGGCAACCATCTTCACTGAGGCTGTGCAGGACAACCGTGGCAGCTGGCACCTGGGCATTTGGCCTGAGCGGTCCTCTGCCAGAATGGAAAGGTGCACAACCACAGTGAAGTCTACACCATTGAACCTGTTGGTTCCCGCTCTGTTCTGGTAGGGATCCCGGGATCTAACATCAGGACTCTGGTCAGGTAATTATTTCTGGACTGAGGACTGTCTTGTCTCTGTGTCTATCTGTCTTCCCTGTGATGTGAGTGAGTCTGGGAGCTGTCCCTGTCCGGGGACTGGCTGACCAAGGGGCTCCTGTCCCCGCGGTCTGTGTGACTGGAATCTGCACAATCGCAGCCGCACCGCACCTTGGATAAAATCCTTGGAGTGAACGCAAGGGCGATTGAGGCAGTAGCCTGTGGGCTTCTTTTGTGTGTTGCACTGGGCACCGCTCTGACGAACCCGAATTTCCTCTTTGTGTGATTGGTGTATGAAGTCCTCCTGTATGGGTAACTAGACGTCTAAGCGGGGGCACTTCCCTAAAGGGACCCCGGCTCAGTTTATGTATTTTAGAAAGGGTCCGGACCCCTGTACATTTCTGGAAAAATGGTCTAGATTGACTCTGGGGGATCCCAAATCACAGTGGCCATGCTTAGGATCTTGGGACAAAGACCGAGTGATGTCTTAAAAGACAAACTTGGCCTCCCCAAAAGTAAATTGGCTAGAGGAGAGGTAGATTGCTTCATGCAGTAGTGGGAAGAGGCAAATCATAGATGGACTGAATCGAAGCTCGCTTTCCTTAAAAATTGTAATAATAAGTTAAAAGCTTTATTGGAAACCTCCTCTCCCACCACCAGCCCAAGCACTCCCCTTTACCCTGGCCTCCGAGAAGACCCAGACCGGTCCCACTTGGAGTTATAAACCCTGGACCCACACAGAGCTCCACTCAATTGTAAAAGGCTTTCCAAAGCCCCAGGAAAATCCTACCAAATTTGCAGAGGAATTTTTGCTAGTGTGCAGTGCCTATGAACCCTCTGAGGCAGACCTCCTGCAACTGTGTAAGCTACTTCTAACCCCTAGTGAGCATAAAAAAAAAAAAGACTCCTGACAGCAAATTGGCCCACCGCTGAGCGTCCTTCTATTTTGCCAGACACTGGTCCCGACGCTGCCTACCAGAACAAATGTAAGAATCAAGCTAAACGCCTGCATGAGGCCATTCCCCAAATATGGACTCCAAAAACCAACTGGACGACCATATATTGCTGTAAATAACAAAAGAGAGAAAGCCCAAGCAACTATCACACCCAACTAACTGATGGATTTTTTTTCTGCAACATTCTGGTATACAGCCACCAGGTGAAAATGGACAGGGCGCCCTGGCGCATGCGTTTGTTAATGGCCTCCTACCTACTATTAGCAGTATGTTAAAGTGAATAAGTGTTGGATGGGAGGCCAAGACCATGGACAAATTGCAAGCAGTGGCAGAGCCTTGCCACTGCACTCTAAACAGGAAAGAGGAGCAGTCCTCACAAAAGTTAATGGCTCTGCATATACAGCATTATTCAGGGCAGGGCAGACAGTACCGGGAACAGGGAGGGTACCAAGAACGGGAATGAGGTCAGAGAAGGGGTCGTGGGACTGGGTTTTTGGGATTTAGAGGTTTCAGCTCCGGTCATGTCCACCCTGCGGGAACAAAACATTATTGTCCCCTGTTCCACCCCCTGTAACACCTCTAATCTCCCAGTTTGAAAGGCCGATGGGAAATCATGGCTGTTTGTTCAGGATCTTCGAGCCATTAACCGCATTGTCATACCCACCTTTCCTGTAGTCCCTAACACCCAGCAACTATTCTGGCTTCTATCCCGCCAGATGCAACTCATTTTACTGTTGTTGATCTG